ACATTGTTTCCCCCCATAGATATATGCAAATGTACATGCAGATCCCGGAGGTTTGGCAGAAAGGGCGGCCTATGCTTGATGGTACATAAAAACTTTCTTCTCACCCTCTCTGGCCCACCTCTGAAATTGTAAATATTTTGATGGGACACATCCACTCATAAAATCTTCAAGGATTTTCCCAGTGTATCAACATGCGGAGCATCTCTCCAGTCCAGGCTCTCATTTTCATATTTTCCTCAGCACGCCAAAATGTGTGCGCTCTCGTCTGAAGAGGCCACTCTTGTAGACACACACACACACAAAATATTTAGGTGAGGATTGTGGTTTGTGGCCCGAGGACGAGTGCAAGTCCTGACAGATACGACACGTCATGTCAATAAGGAGCCACAAATAAAGTGCATTAACATAACACGCAAATTAATTTGCCATCCTATCTTTGGGTGAAATCTCTGGAAAGTCTTCTGTGTCTGAAGTTTCCTGAGAGAGAAAATGTAATTAGCAGAATTCACTTAGATAAGTGTATATATTGATATCAAACGGAATTCTTTATCAGCTGTTTAATTTTCACGAAACATCATATGTGCTCACATTCGGGCTTGTTCTCCTTAAAATAAACACCCAGGCAAATATATCACATTTCCTCTTCCACGGAAAAAGGGTACGAAATGCGAAGTAAGACTGTGCAAACAGTGGCCAAACTGGGGAATTTTCCTTTTCGGAATGAATTCTGCCGAGACATGTGGAAGAAGAACATATTCTCAAGCAAAAGTCCGCACAAGTTTGTGGAAAAGGGAAAAGTGTGTGTGTATTTGTGAGGGACACGCAGACATTCTCTGAATGACACTGGACTGTTTGTCTTGGCTTCCAGGATGAAGTTGGCAAACAATTTTGTTGCGAATCTGTTGAACTCACTACACAGCATTTTCATCCTCCCCTTGAATGTCTGTGGGGTAGTTTAAGTGAGAAAAATACACCAAAAGTCGCAGGGCTTTTTTCGGGGGGATTTATGAATTTGTTAACATGATTAGTTCGCTCGTCCGAGCTTTTTCCCTTCCGAAAATTGATAAAATCAAGCCAACTTTCCCCAACAGCAGCTGTACATTTCCACTGGCATTTCCTCTCTCGCTCGCTCTCTCTCTGTCTAAACCCGGCCCACTTGCAAACTTTCAATCATCAGGTCATGGCTTAGCGACAATCTCCTCCTTACGGGCAACCTTTTTAGTTATGAGGGTGTATGCGAGGCAGAAGACAACATTGAAAATAATAAGGGAGCTTGTCACGATTTTATAATATATTGGGATGCTGCAAATGTTTTGGCCAAATCTCTACTTTCTTAAGACTCGAACATCTTAACCAATAAAGTTTCTTGTTTTCCATGAAATCTTGGTCCTTTTTTTTACACATTTTTAGGATGTTCTTCTAAAGTGTTAAAAAATGTCAAAAGATGATTTTACAAAGCCTTTAACTCTCCAGGAGGTTGAAAAGTCAACAAATGGTGTAAAAGCTTACATTTTGGTAGAAAAGAACCTCTTGTGAATTTTGAATTTTTAACCCAAAAAAGCCATTTTTCTGTGCATTTTGAAAAGATTATTTCACAGCCTACAATCCTTTAGAATATATTGTTTCCATCAGATCACGTCCTTGCTTTTTTCCGTCGGTTTTTGGAAAAATACTCAGCTTGAGTGATACGAAATTATTGCAATTCTAATGCGGTTATTTCACTATTTTTACACAATTTTAGAGAACAAATCGACTGATTTTAATCTATTCTTCCTCTAAAGTTACATTAAAAGTCATTATCGATAGCTTATTTGTCGATAACTTGAAAGAAGACAGAAGAAAGTGTGTTAAGACGTTGAAAATCTGCTAAAACATACGCAACATCCCAATAATTTATTGAAGGTTCGCTTGCGTGCCGGGTGAATGGATGAGGATCAGCCCATGAGGTTGTAATATCAACTGCCATATATGAGATTCTTATCGAAGGTGAACTCTACATCTGCAGAGGGAAAGTAGCCCCGGAAAAATTGGAGCGAAAGGTACAATATAGCCAGTGAATAGGCGAGATTGAAATCAATGTGACAAGAACAGTGAATCTCATCTCGCCTTCACTCATATTATGTGCAAATTTTCATTCTTGCGAATGCCAAAGGCTAAAACAGTAAAAATATATATAGTATATTTGTTTATTTTGCACACCCAAACACTTTTCTGCAATATAAAGCGAAAATAAATATTTTTATTTCACATGGCGCGATTGGAATGGGATGGTGAAATGAGGGATATTGTTAAAATAAAATAAGTATGTGTCAATGTGAAAATTTACGACAATCTTTATACGTTGGTCGTATTTTCCCCCCTTTTTTCAACGCCACCAGCGCTGATTTACACATAAATGCGTGTAATAATTTAATTACGAGGCGCATGGGATGAAAGAAGGTTGACATTAATAGAGTTGAGGAGGGGCTGCAAAGTGACAAATTCAATATCACAGCGGAAATAGATTTATTACTTGCCGAATTTCGCCTCTTCTCCGCATCTTCTGAATGTCTGTCTCAGCCTTCGCTCATCCCACGGCGACTGGTGTAAATCTGAGGATGTGTTTGGGGAGTCAAGATGTACATATTGTGTTGCCGAAGTCATGGCAAACTTCCACTTTAATGTGTGAGAAGACAGAGATGAAAAGGTAGAGGTGGATTTCTCATGGATAAAACTTACGTTGAGAGCTTTAGTGTCTCGGAGTGACGGAGGAGCTGATCTCTAATTATGTTCGATTGAAAATTAAGTCAATTAGTTTCGGGTGAGACACGAAGGAGAAGGAGTTGCACAGGACATGTGACATGGTGAATAGAGGATTGTGAAATATAGGGGAGGAAAAAAAAAGGCGACACAACAGCGGAAATTTCATGAAAATTTCATTAAATCGGATTACAACTAAGTCTGTTTAATCTCATGTTTTCCACATCTTCCTCCCCACCATTCCTTGCTATATATTTTATTATAACACCCAGAGAGATACCTACACTTGCACGATTCTCAACTCTCCACCCTCGGCGTCTTACTACATCAGCTCTGGATCAATTATTTCAAGCCATTGTTTCTACACTTTAACATGACCCAAAAGTGGAATTTCATGTATATAAAATAACATCGCAAACTGACAGCGCCAAATTCTTTCACAATTTCACACAACTAATTTAATTGTCCGTCCCACGCCGAAAAGCCCGTTCTAATCCCCAGAAATTTTGCATATTTTACTCCATCACGTCGTGGTCCATTAAGTGATTAATGATTGCAAAATGTGGCAGAAAGTATAAGCAAAGTGCAAACACGACCTTGCCACATAATTACAATAATCACAGCAGATTAGGCGCGGCCTCCAATTCAAATGCGCACATTCAGCAGGACAAACTGATAAGTCAGTGTAATTTTCATTAAAATCACTAACACTGCCATAAATCTCGCTCCACATTTTCATCCTTCTCGTGACTTTGCTCTCTCTTGCTCAAGGTGAAGAAGTGCAGCAGAAAATCTGTACACCACAAGTGAACAAGAAAAGAATGTAACTAAAATATAAGAAAAATCAAGGGGCAAATCACAATAATCAAAATAACCAAATTCTGAATAAGATAATTAAAAAAAATGAATATTTTCGCAAGTAGATTTTGAAAAATAATCAAATTTTCAATAGAATAATAAGAAAAAGATTAATTTCCCACAGAAAAATTGAAAAATAATCAAAATTTGAATATAAAGAAACAAAAATAATATTATTTTGTGAAGTGAAAAATTCAAAAATAATCAAATTATGGTAAAATAATAACAAAAAAGTTCTTTCTTCCAAATAATATTAAAAAATAATCAAATTATGAATAAAAAAAAAAACAAAATAATTATTATTTTCCCAAGTAAAATTACAAAACAAATTAAATTTTGACTTAAGTCACATAACCTAGAAAATATATGTAAAAATGAAGAAATAGACCAAAATCAGTGAAATTGTACCAAATTTTAGTTTTATTCCACAGAAATTCAACTGAAAATTACCCAAAATCTAACTGACTAACTGAAAAAATCGTGAAAATTTGAGGTTATGTTTGACTTTAGCCTTTTTTATGCAATTGAAATACGCAATTCTACTAATAAAGTGAAAATACTTTCTGTTTAGGCGCAAGAATTTCTTCTTTAAGATGTTATTTAGTCTTAAATCAGTGACATAACCTAGAAAAGTAGATCGAATTTGAGTCTTTTGTAGAAAATAATGTCTCAGAGTAACTTCTACAGATCTGTACACCACTTCTGACCCTACTTTCTCCCCCTTGCTCTCGCTCTTCCCCGCCAGAGACGCAAGGAAAGAGCGACTCACACCACCTGATTTCTCTGGGTTCATCTTCTTGCAAAACTCGGGATAGTTTGGGCTTTGGGCACTTTTGGATTGTGATCAAGTGGCACCATTTGGGTGGAGCCAATGGCTGAAATATATTGGAGAAGTTGAAGTTGTGCAGATAATTTATGCTTTCTCCAAATAACATCACCATTTTGAAAAAGTATACCAAATTCTTTTTCCACAAAAAGAGACAACTTTCCCGCACAAATTAATCTCTCCCGGCTAAGCGTTTCCACTTATTTATCTCTATCTCCATCTAATTATCTCCCCATCTCATACATATTCATTTTCAACATCATGAGACATCCAAGAAATTCCCCAGTGGTCTTGACAATTACTTAGACAATGTGTATTATAACGATGATGTAGGGAAAAAGTCACTTCAGTCAGCAAATATTGGGAAGCTTTTGCTCTTTTTTTTCCCCCTTCAAACACTCAATGGCAAACTAAATGTGTGTTATTTAATATTTAATGTGAAATTAGTGAGGCGAAAGGATTGTAATTTTGCTGTGCAACCGAATAATGTGTGTGTTGAACAGAAACCACAAAACGCACTAACTGAAGCGACTGTCAAGTGCAAATTGAGTTTGATATGCCAGCAATAAAGTAGACAAAATTCACATGGTCTTTATTAATGGAATGTTACACTCTGGGTGTGATTTTAATTGAAATTGATTTCCAAAAACATTTTCCATCTCAACTGGCGGTGCAATTTCTCTCTGTGTTTGAAGGATTCTCACACTTGTCCCACTTCCTGAAGCGCCACGAGTTCAGGAAGTGCTCCAGAGAGCGGGATGAAGTGGGGTTGAAAAGAAGATTTAAAACGACCAGCTAATGAATCTTGGCAGTGTCTCTGCCCTCCACGCCTGTTCTGTGCACTCTTGGAAGCCTTTGGAAGCCTCAGAAGCAGAACACACAGAGCGCTTGTGGTGGCGCTGAAAGGGAGCTTTAATGGGACTGAATTGTCACCAGGATTCTGTGTGTGTGTGAAACACGTCATAAACACATGAACCTCTTTCACGGCTCATTCATGGATTGTTTATTGATGAGTCACGAGCTGTTGTCCTCGCCTCCTGAATCATCATCACCTGTCGCAGTGGAAGCACCGTCGAATGCACCGCCTGAAAGTCCTCATCTTGTGCATTACTTGCTCCTGTGGTTGAAAATGATCAAATATTAAAACGCTCGTCCATGGAAAAGGATTCGCCGAAAAGTTGGACTTATTTTCAACAAATTGCGTACGAAACATTACGATGGGTGATTTGAAAACTATGAAAAGTCGATTTATCAGAGTTTTCATCTTATATATAATTGAAAAGCTTTTTATTTCTTCGTCCTGCACAAATATTCTGAGATTTGTATCTTATGAGACAATAGCAAAAAATCTTATTTATCTAAAAAGCACAAATGGAAGAAATTGTCATGTTTTGCGAATGAAAAGTCGAATATTCAACGATTTTTCTAAGAAAAATATCTCAAAATTGCATCCTAAAATGTTTTTTTTAGACTTTGAATGAATATTTCTTATATATTTTCAATTTTTTCAATTGAAAACTTTAAAGAAATCTTCAAGTGAAGTATGAAAAGTTGATTTTATAGAACTTGTTTGGAGAAAAATTGACTTTGGAAAGTAATATTTTCAGTTTTTCAATTAATTTTGCCAATAAAATCAACTAAAATATTTACAAAATAAAAAATACAGAATAATATTTGTACTTTAACGGACGATTTGAAGGTGTTTTGAAGTAATTTTGACAAATTTCGCAGCTTTATTCACGCTAAATTTTGAATTCGCTCTGCTAAAAAATGGCGATTTTGACTTTTGATAGTTTTCGCGGCACCCGTCGATTTAGCAATTAGTGTGAAGATCACAAAGTTTTGCCCAAATCAATGGATGTAATTAAAAAGGGAGATTCTTTTCGGCAAAGCTAATTTCTGCTCTTCATCAAAAGTGCTGAAAGAACTTCACATGCGCTTGTTTTCCACTGGAAAAATCAATTAGTTTAATTGTGACGTTGATTTTCTGTGATTTTTCCATCCTCTCTATCCTCCCCACACATTTAACTTTGCCCAGCATTTTCAAGCGTCCTCAATTTCATGCACTGAATCTTGCAAATATTTCAAAGTCCAAACTCAGTTAAGGGGAAAGTCAATCGTGATTTCAGATTATTTTAGGGTTTTTCGGGGTTTTTTTTTGACACAGAGTAACAAATTTTCCACAAGCTTGATTCGAACTCATAAAAATTGTATTTCTCCTTTGGGAAATGCAATGACACTGAGCTTTTCTACGCGAAAAGCTTTATTTCTCTGCACATCTCTCTGCATTTTGCTATATCTCCGCCGCGAATTGTGATATCGCCTTGATCTCAACGCCATTTGAAAAATCATTAAATTCTGATGATATTTAGTCTTAAAGTAAATAACTCAAAACTTAAAAGAAATATCAAATTTTCAGCACCAAACGGAATGTTGGCCTTAATAGTTGTCCTAACGTAATTTTCGCTACTGTATTTAAAAATTTTATCACATATTCAGAAAATATTCTAATATTTAAAACAATTTTTAATATTTCATCGAGATCATTAAGATTCCTCAATAATCGGCTAGTGATTTTCCCCTTGAACTCAGTCTTCCGTCACATTAGTGGCATAATAAGGACTTTGCGGTAAAAATCAATTGGATTTGGACAAAGGAAATTAGAGAGGCGTTCAATTGTCAATTGATCAGCTCACCTGCATTAAATTAAAACACATCGCAATTAGTGCCATGCCCAGCAGCAAATAAATGGCACAGAGGATGAAGCTCAACTCCACGCCGGTTCCTTCGAAGCCTGTGATCTGTGGGTTTAATATCCAGATATAGTTTTATTAAAACAATTTGAACATAATTTGCATTGGTGCTCAGGAGAACATTAATTATTCCTATTTCCCATTTCCCATCCCACCATTGATAAACGATGGGGACACTTTTGGGCGAATTAATTCGAAAGTTATTGACCAACAGACTAAATGTGCCAAAAATCTTTCGCCATTCGGAGAATTTATTACCTATGACATATGCAATTAACACTCGTAAAAGCTCCCCATTTACATACTCCTGTATAATATGGTGTCATAAATATGAAGGAATTCCTGACCATAAACCACCGCCCTTCCCCAGTGAGTTGTTTAAATTTTTATGCACCTCCACTCGAAATCATCTCGTAAATTGAACAACCCTCGTGATGAATAAAAATTCCTCGCCGAACATAAGCTTGTCTGTTAGTTGCAAATCTATGTTGATGCTGAGCCAGAATTCTGGGACAAGACAACTTTTCTATTCACCGCAAATATTATGCAATTATAGAGAATTTATTGAGGCTCTTCGGGATATTTTGTCCTGCGAAAAATTCTCTTTGAAAACCACCACATAAAAGTCTTCTGGACACACATTCGTGGCGGTGCATAAAAGAAGTGGTGGAGAAGATACTACATTTGGACAAAATGCCCACATTAACCACTACGTTTGGAGTAATTTTCCACCCCAGACAGAAGCATGAATAAACAGAAGTGTTTCCACTGTTGCTGCTCAACTCAAGAAAGACACGGAATTTATTGGGGGCCAAATGGAGACGCTTTGGTGGGTATTTTATGAGATCTCAAAGAAATATATTATTATGTGGTGCAATATAAGCTGAAATGCTACTTCGAAATCTTTCGGAGTTGAGCCAAAATGTGCAGCATCGCACCATGACCGCCAGGGAAATGCCTCAAAGGGTGGTCTTTCGGCGGAATAAAGCCGCCAGAGCTGTTCATAAAACGTACAAAAGTATAGTGATGCCAGTAGATCGTCCAAATGACTTTCTCATGAACTCAATTCCGAGGTCTTTAATTGTTTATCAACCCCTTCTTGAGGCAGTTTGAGGCAAAGTGCACAGCGAAAAGTATCGAAAATATCTTGAAAATGATGCAAATGCATAAAATTGCCAAAGATAAATCGCAATTGGTGACAATTTATTCCCTTAAACGGCATTTTAGAGTCTGTTGCTAGGGGAAGGTGGGGAATTTTGGGACAAAAATTTAAAAATCGTCAATTCTAATCTGTCTTTTGAATTGTCTTGGCTTTGAGCAAAGATTTTTTATTTTACGGCATTTTGCACAAAACTGCCCCACTCTGGGGCACATTTACACTGCAATTATTTAATCATTCTTAGAATATTATCCTGAAGGAATGATAAAATCAACTTCAAGGCCAATAGATGGATTGGAAAGAAAACTTAAGGATTTTCATTTTATTATCAAATTTTTAATTGAAAATACGCAACTTAGGTTTGATTTTCTGTTCGAAAAAGGCGCTGTGCAAAGCTGCCTCATTCTGTAAATTTTCTTGAACAGACGAATTCACTTCTCTGTCTCTGAATTCCTCCCATTCCGCCCCGCTCCCCCCTACAACATATTAAACACTGAATACCTTGAATCCCGGCACCATATCGCCGAAGCCGATGCTGCTGAGCGATATAAAGCAGAAGTAGCTCCCTTCCAACGGATCCCAGTCCTCCCAGTGGCCGAAGAGAGTGGCTCCGAAAAGGATATATCTGCAATTGAGATGCCTTTTATATTGCACGCCATATATTGCGACAATCTTCTGCTCTTTCGCATACGCCAGGAGCAATTGATAGCGCCCACGAGATTTCACGAGCGCCTCGTTTTGTTTTTATTGGGTCGCAACGGTGGTAATATGAGGCTGTCGGTGTATGCAAATGCAGGGGTGTCATGAGCCCCAGCACCCCCTCAACCTGCCCCTGCATGACCTGATGGGTGTGAAAGTGTTCGGGGCGTAAAATGTCTGTTTGAGACTTTTTTTTCACCCTTTCTCCAGCGGCGCATAATAGTGTTAATGGTACTTTGTTCAGACGCTCACAAGGCAATAACGCGGTGTTGGCGAAGCACTCAATGGCAAGGGGGAGATAGTGTGGTCAGAAAGGGTGTAAATCTCAGTAGAAGTGCTCGGAAGTGCTTCAATGTTGTGAATTTGATGCGTTCGAAAGTCACTTTCCAAAGGATTTATCGCAATAATTAGAGAAAAAGGAATTTTTTTTTGCATTTTTCTAGGTTATGTTATCAGTTTAAGACAAAGTTTGCCTTTCAGTGATAAGCTTTCTATGATAAACTGTCTGAATTATTATAAAATTGATTATAACCTCTAAAATTTTGATTCAGGATACAAAATTGTCTATTTTAAGAGATATTTGGTTGATTTCCTACTTTTAAATGGCAAATTTCAGTTCATTTTCAATTTATAACAGATTAATATTCCCATAATTTACATATAAAAGATCCAAAAAGAGTTTCTTTCAAGAAACTTTTAGGTTATGTTCTAAAGTGCAATAAAAAAACAATTTAACATTGAATCATATCGAAATATTCACTGAAAACTTCAAATATTTCTAAAAATACTGTTTCTCTGTTAGTTTTCAAAGTCATACAAGTAAAAACGGCGTTTTTTTAGGTTAAATACTCCTAAATTTGAGGTTATGAATCTAAGAAGTTCAGAAAATAGGGAAAACGCGTGTTTTAAACACTGCCAGAGTTCTCAAAATGTCTGTGATTCTGCCACAGAAAGTGTGGAAGTGGTGTACAGCTGCACTATCTCCCCCTTGCGCAATTGTGCTGCAATGTGGAATTAACTCCACTCACTTGGCATTATACATGCAGACGAAATTGAGTTATGCGGTGTTTATTGTGAATTTTCTTATTCACTCACCCAATCATGATGATGACACAAATTGTTAATGGCACTATCACGGTTTCAGTATCACCAGCATTTTCCTCCTCCTCGCTCGACTCGTGCGCGTCGACGGAGGAGTTGGAGAGCGTCTCGAGATCTCCGCCCTCAATGAAGTAACCCTCCTAATGAATGCAAAAGAATTGTGTCACATTTCGTGGGGTGATGATATGTGCATAAGATATGGATTTAATCCACAATGTGTGTGCCTGGGCAAATATACAAACTGGCAGATTATCTCGTTCAGCAGTCAAAGCTCTGGCCTTCCGCCGCTCCCGCGCCGCCCGCCGCCGTGTCACACCCGGACAAATTCTGCACAAGCACACCTTGGCGTAAATCCACTTGAATGACTTGGCGAGAATGTCTCCTTTCAATAAATTTCAAGGTGGATTAAATGGAGATTTCGGCTACTTTTCCCCATGAGAACTTACCGATGTTGGACAGGTAGAGCAGGAAGAGCGGCATGCCAATTATTGCATACACAATTGTGCATATCTTTCCCCACTTTGTGCGTGGTATTAAATTTCCATATCCTGCAAAATTCAGAGAGAGAAATACTCGCTCATTCCACTTTGGATGATTGCCATCTTCTGCACTTCCTTCTTCTCAAAGTCATTCGTAGCATTTGCATCCTTGCAATCAATTATAATTAAAATTGCGAAATCCGAGTGAAGAATGCTTTTAAATTTCCCGTTTTGTTGTAAAGTTTTACTCAAATGGAAAGTTATCTCGTCATTTATTCTTCCGTTAATTTCTGAGCTTATCAATGGTAATTAAGATATGTATTTGGCAAACAAAAGGAAATACAACCATGTATGGTTTGTAAGCTTATGAAATTTGTGATTTACAAGCGTGTTTCCGGGCTTTTTGGATTGAAAAAATGAATCAAGAACAGATTTTGTGAATAATTTGCATTCTGGCACACGAATTCTAAGGCTCAAGTCGGAGAAAAACACTAAAAATTGCGTTGAGATCAAACATAACCTCAAAAATAGTAATTTGAACTTAAAAAATGTTTCTTTAGAAAACTTTCTGGAGGATTTTGACTCTAAATAATGAGTTTTGAGTTCATTGGCTAATCATAAGAGATGATTTTGTGATCTAGAAAGCTTCCACAACGAAGTGAACAGAAAGCTTTGGAAGCCCTGCACATCTTCTTATCGGGACATAGAAATGTCAATAGGAGAAAAGATTGCGCTGAAGTTTTTCAGTGGATTCTTATGGTAATAATTTGTGAATTTGTATGATTCCATGTTCAATTTGACTATGAATTTACAGTGAAATAAATTAATTGAATATCAATTGTATCAACTGAAAAGGTTCTCTAAAGTATTTTTGGAAAAACATTGCATAATTACTAAAGAGCAAAATTACAGTGAAATCGAAACATTTTCGATTTTCCAGCGAATACAAAATGCTGTGAAATCCGCAGTTAATATAATACAAGTACAACTCTCCATCATTAAAAGCTTTTAAGCCCAATTGTATTACTTTTGAACATGAATTTGTGCTTTTGGATGTTTCAACATGCAACATCCTCTCGCCCAGCTATGTATTATTGTGTTGAAAAATTATTTTCGTTAATTATGCCACTTGGGGGAAAAGTTTTCATTAACCACAGTGCCAACGTCAATGAGTGCGCGCGTCCCATCGGAGGAAATTGTGCCAGAAAAGCGGAGGAAATGGAGAGAATTGTGAACTAGAGGAGGAAGAAAAATTGTTCCTATTATTAAGAAATGATAAATACGATTTTAATTAGCTTACGACGAACACTCTTTGCAAATTAACTTTAAATTAACAGTTGGGGGTTGGGTTTGAAGGATGGGTCGCGCGGGGTGCGGATGGGAAGTTTGCCGGAAGGAGTGTGCGCCGGGAAGGACAAGGCGAGAGGCATTTGAGAGGAAGTTGAAGATATTTGCATGACAAAATAAACATAATTCATTTACCAATTGTCGTAATTACGGTCAACGAATAGAGAAATGCCCCGGAGAATGTCCATTTATTGTTCGTCTTAGTTTTTGTCGTCTCCGCCATTCCACCCTTGGCCGCTCTCACGATGTTCTGCTGATGGTTGAGAATCTGCTGACCGACTCTGGGATGCAATTTGGAGAGGATGACCGGTTAAAATTGCAATTACATCCCATTTTTGGGGGAGTCACAACTTCTGGGAGGATCAATTCCCGCTCAAACTGAGGAATTTTACGCTTCAAACCTAGCATGAATTTTTAACACAAGTGTGGAATTTTTTAACACTGTTTTACGCATTCGGACGATACAAATTTAACACATTTGCAAATTTTCTTTTAACACTTATGGTGGAATTTGATGAAAATTTCAATACAATCGCCGTTTTACGCTCAAAATCTGTGACGCAAAATACCGAAAACTGTTTTAAACTACTGTAATACATCTCTAACACTCCTGAGTGTGAATGGGAATTGATCCACAATCTGTATATAATGCATTTTTTCAGTATCTCAACTTCACTAACAACTCTATAAATGCTGACTTATTGAAAATGTTCGCTTCGCAGCACGAGATATTCCACAGCTTCGCCGCCACGGACACTCGGTTCCTCGCTAATTCGGCTGATCTCTCCAAATCACCATCGCCCTCAATGGCAATGAACATGAAGGCACCTACAAATACGAGGACAACACAGAAATTAATTAACTTTCCCCGGTTGTTTGTCGTCATCCCTCCGCGTCTCACTCATCATCGTGACTCATTCCACCCCTGCAGATGCTTGAAGTTGCACAAAGTTTCACCCCCTTTTCCCAGCCCACCCCCTCCCCCCACCCCCACCCCCTGGCCGGGAACTTTCAATAAAGTTATCATGCGACATTCAACATCTTCTCTGTTTTGTCGCAACTTTCCGTACTCATGCACAAATCTTCAAATCTCAAATGACAATCAATCATTTTAATGGTGCGAAAGAGATGCAACCATCATCATTAGCATTGCCTCTGTGCCAACGCGATGACGACACAATTCTGCCAACCTTCACTTGTGCATAGATCGGCTTATCAGGAGTGAAAAACATGCTTGAGCAGGAAGAATTGCTACTATAAATATACTTTTGCCCAATATTTCTCAATGAATATATGCTTTTAAAATAAACCATGCTCACTTCTGACACTGCGCATATACATATGAGAATTTAGGTAACGTATTGTATGTTTGTGCAATATACAGTAGCGATAATTCGGTTAAGACACCTCAAGAATTTAGGTCAATTTCTCCTTTAGAGCTGAAAATTCGGTATTTCTTTCATTTTTCTGCTGAATCTGTTGAATTATCGCATAGATCGTGCTAACGTCAGCGTAATCTTGCTTCTTGTTGACATTTCTATGGCGCGATAAGAAGATGCGAAGAGCCTCTAATGCTTCCTGTTTCTTATTGCTCATGCTGCGCACTTTTACATTAAGTCTTGAGTTTTTAATGTCTAAAAGACATTTACATCTGGCTTTTTGTATGTTTAAAGCCTCTATTTAACCTTTTATAAGAAAATAAAATACAAATTCAGTTTGATTATTCAAATAATTACATAGTTTTGTGACCAACACGATTTTTCTCTGCTTTGAAATGAGAAAAATATCGAATTTTTCGCATTCAAATGGAAATTGATCCAAATTTTTCGGGTGTCTTAAAGAAATTTTCACTGCTGTATTTGTGAAATGGTTCAAAGTTGCCAGAGATTCTTCCCACTATAAAATGTTGAGTATGCGAGAAATACAGATTTCTGAAACAGAAGTACATTAATTCACCCAACAATACCCATAAAAGTCCAAGTATCTTGGGAAGAGTCCAATAAAACAGATACAATTATTGCAGGAAAAAAAACAGGTTTTTTGTTGCTGAATTTCATCGGAATTCCTAAATCTGCAGAAAATGTATTAAGAAGTCAGGCATGAATTGATGTGAATCGAATTGAATCTGCAAAAGTGTACTTAAAACACAAATTCATGCTCATTTCACGTGTTTCCCGTTTCACCTCCAATGAAATTATAATGAACTTCCATAAAACATGTGTACATAACTCTGGGGTGGGAATCTATGAGCGCCATTGCGGTTTATTGTCCTGAAAGTTTGCTCCTGAAAAAAGCCAAAAATGGCCAAGGAGAGTCATGGACAGTCTCACTGGAGTTGTGCAACTTACCAGCGATTGTGTACAGCACCACTAGCAAAATGATTCCGACATTGCTGAACATAAATGCTGTAAACTTCCGGCAATGCTCCTTTGCGCGCTCTGCAAAAGGCAACTTTTGGCTCTGGCGCCGTCTCACCGATCTCTTGCGCTCCATCTATTTATACTTGACTTCTTACTCGCTTTTCCCCGGCTTTCCTCTCTCTCTCACTCTCACTCTGTGTATTTATTTATCTACCCTCTCGACAATTACTGGCTGTCTGATAACGGCCGCGCGCGCGGAATCAATTCACCGGGAGCATTTCATGTGATGTGCTCCAATTGCGTGGCCACGCCGACTTCCGTCCAACCCAAAGTGCTGATTGCCTTCGCCAGTGGCTTTCCTCGGTGCTCCATGGAGTGCAGCAGATGACATGCCCAGAGATGCAGTGACTGCAAGTCAATATGAGAAAATGCTTCGTTAGATTTATTGCCCAGCTTTTCGCGCGCGCGAAAAGTCTCAACGGACCCATAAAATTCGTCGGGCGTTCTATGTGACAGGGAAATAAATAAAAATCTCAACCAAAATATGTATATAAATAGAAGTCAAAATAAGAGAAATATTTGAATGACACTTGAAGATTCTTCATGGCAATGAGGAGAATTTTTCACTCGCCCAACATTCCTCATAAACACGAACAAACACTTCATTTCACTTTAATAAGAAACATGAGGAATCACCGTGTCGCTTCGTTCTCTGTCTCTATCTCTCTTGGGAGGGAAATCACGGATGTCAAATTGAGAAAAATACCATCAGCCATTTGTGGATTCATCCTGTCTCAAACGACGAGTGTTTCTTATACTTTGTACATAAGAATTGGAAGCTTTCGTGGCATACATTGTGCCGATTTTCACTGCAATTGCGCTCGCTGAACCGTGGCGGAATTGAGAAGAACACTTTGCGAAAAGCTCAGTGGAGACATAATAAAAAAGGGAATTGAGATGATATCAATGGTCGCGAGAGCATAAATTAAGGCAACAATGTACACTTATGCTTCGCCTTCAATTCGACGAGTGCGTCGAAAAACAGTAAAATTCAAAAGCGCCATTGAGCGATTTGAAGTAATTTCCTTCATTTCACCTTAAACTCCTTGTTGACTTCCATTAAATTGATATTAGTGGTCAATTCTTAGTATTTTCTATTAATTTCAGTTGATTTCATCGGTTAATTATTGAAATATTAACTGAAATATTAAGGATTGTTGGACAAACTCGCGATATTTAGTACAAAAAGTCGGTCTTCTTTGTGCATTTCTTACTAAACAGTTTGTAAAAAGCAATTTTTCGCATTTTTCCTGTACATTTTGTTGATAATTTGCATCATTTGTAATTGCAATGATGAGATTTTTCAGCTAAAATTGAATTTTTCATGCAATTTCATTGATTTTATTCGAAATTTAGAATTATTTAATGGATTTAACGACGCAAAACCTCTAAAAAGACACAGGAAAAATATCAATTTGTATGAATCTCTGAAATAATTTGGCAAATGAGCGAAATTTTAATTAATATATCCAGTAAATCTAATATTTTTCCTAAAAATTCTCTCAAATGTTGACTTTTAATTGTTTTACTTAATTTATTTTAACGCTCTTTGCGTATCCTTTGCATTGTCAAATAATTGTCTATCATATAATTTTATCGTTGAAACTTTTTAAACACTTTTGTCTCAAATACATAATCAACTAGTGAAGATTTGGAGGATTGAAATTACAGTAACTTTTCACGTTTCAATCATAAATCACTCATGGTCGAAAGTTCAAACTCTTTTCTCTGTGTTTTATTCTGAGAGCTTTTCTGATTTGCATCTCGGCAAAGTTTATAAACTTACTTAAAGTATGTAGTTTTGTAGGAAAATCGGAGGAATCTCATTCCCCAAAAACCCTGTGAGATTTTATGCGTTTGTATTGAAAACAGCAAAAGTCTTTTACTTCTTTGACTGGGTTTTGTCTTGATTAGAAGTTTATCTCAGCAATATCGTATATTAGTGGTTGGAAATGTGGCAATTTCCAACGTGGTGAAAGAGCGCTAATGTGCTTTTAATCTCCAAATTGTTTTAATTCGTCAGACATTAAATGTATACAATAGAGGAAATTGCTTTATCCACTCGCCTTTTACTACATTTTCTTTGATCTAAACCCAGAGTATTGGCTTTTAAATTAAACGCGAGACATGCGGCTAAACACTCCTTTCATTACTCTCACATCCTTTCCCTGGAAAAAATTGCCTTGTCATAAATCCATTTTATACTTGCAGAAGAAAAATCAAAGTGCAAAGAAAAAATCGCCAGGCAAAGAACTTTTGACCTGAAAATCCTTCATATGCAGGAGAATTTGCAGGAATTCAAATGTATGTAAATAGTAATAGGATTGACTTTCGTCCCTTTCTTCTCATCTCCATTTGCACTTCTTCCATTATTCAACACTGCAAAACCTCTGGCTTTATCAATATTTGGATTTTACGAGAAGTAAAGAATTGTTTAGACAACCACGACACAATCAATTAATGGATTGCTTCTGCTTTTCCCACAGCATTTTATGTCACCTGTCGTGATTTATAAGCCATGAAGTTACATGCTTCTCTACCCTTAGACCCGGTCTGGAAGGATTTTGGGATTTTCTATGTCACATTTCAAGCGAAAGGAGCTAAAGGATGCACATTACATTTATGCAACAGTTTGAAAAAATGCTGCATTAGAAAGGCTTCAGATTAAATTTAGCTAGAAGTCTGAATTTTTCCCCTAATCTTCCCTCATTAATGGCTAATTATCATGCCAAGTTTAAAGATATTACACCGAATTCTTAATCTCCTTGTGACACTTAAACAGAAGCAATGCAGTAATCAATTCATCATGCTAAAGCCAGAGCAATCTTGTTTCTTATTGACATTTCTATGTCGCGTCAAGCAAATGTGGAGAGCCTCTAAGAAATAGCAGAGATCTATGATGATTTTATCATGTTTTCAGTTCTTAAAACCGAGGTATTTTCAGGAAAATTGTCTTAAAGATAGCAGAAACACTTTTTGATCAAGAAAGAGAGTTTAGAACGTCACTAACCACGGTTTAAATTGGATTTCTTAACGAATTGTTCTGATATTTCAGTCAAATTCGTCAAACTTTAAGAATTTCATGAACAAATATCCTGAATCTGGACGTTTAGGGACTCAGGTGACTCTATTTAATCTGGAATCACTGTTATACATCACCATTTTGTATTAAATAATGGGAAAATAATATTAATTGGCTTCACAACGTTGAGTTTAAATATTGTATATTGCCCAAATTTGTTTCTCAATTGTATGCTTTCGTGATGAATTGAAATCAATATAGTCGAATTCTTCGGAACCAAAGGATTGTACGTTTTGTGAAGATGAAGATGAAGATTTGTGGCAGAAACTTTAGGGATTTGCTCCTGTCATTGTGAAGGTGCAATTTGGTGCATGGGAAAACCACTGGTATTCTGTTTTCCTTCCATGCCGCATACATCACACCCCCGTGCTGACCATACAACCCTTCACGACTCCTTCCCACAACGTCAGACAAGATAAGGCCTGAGCATTGATATTGCGCTCGACCCCGGAGATTCTGCATACAAGCAATGTACATCATTCCAATATTTTCTTGGCTTATGTGGCGCTTGCAGACGAGCTCGCCATGCGAAGTGATGGAAACTCATTTCCTCTCTCTCTCACACAACTACGGGAAAGTCTGTCTTGCTCGGAGCAAAATTGCCACTATGTGTAACTGTTTGTTTAGGAAACTATGTCCATTTGCAATTTACAATTGCTGAAACTTGCATATAGTGCAGCTGAGGAGTCGGAGAGTGTCTTAAAACATTTCATCTGCTGTTGAACTTTAAAGGGGATGCTAATATTATTACCCTACGCTCCCCGTCGCATTGAGAGCGTAATCGAAGTTCAAATAGGTCAAAATATAAATGGAAGGTGGGAAAATGCTTAAACTTTCACATTTGCATTGCGCTGTGTCGTAATTGTTTCTAATTGCTTCTTGCATTAAATGTAGGCGACACAATTCTTGCAAGTCACATCCAAGGAATTCCTGTATCCTGCTCGAATGCACAGTGAATTGTCAGATCCTTGCTTTACACATCGAAGAGATAATATAGTGAGAAGTGAAGTACAGCTCAGCGAGAGTTATTAACTGCCAAATTGTCGCGATTCTCTGAATTACTCTTCATTTGTACGCAGAAATAATCGGAATAATTTCTTTTCTAGGTTATGTAAAGAATGAAGGACAGATTTAGTGAATAATTCGCATGGCAGAATGACAATTCTGAACAATTGATGCTGAGAAACACTGAAAATTGAGCTGCGATCGAACATAACCTCAAAAACAGTGATTTGGACTTGAAAAATGTTTCTTTAGAAAACTGGCTGGAGGATTTTAACTCTTAATAATGAGTTTTGAGTTCATTCACAAGTCATAACAGATGATTTTGCGGTCTAGAATGCTTCCAGAACAAATAAAACTGTGAGCATTGGAGGCTCTGCACATCTTCTCATCGAGACATAGAAATGTCAATAAGAGGAAAGATTGTGGCATATTTGGATGTGTTTAGAAATTGTGTGCAGATCTTTCCCTTGGCTTCACATATGCATAATTCAGTAGTATTTCCCTGAAGTTAGGCACTTTCAGAGCCTCTTTTCAATATAATCCATTATTTTTCTATTTCTCATTTTCCCCTTTTTGGCCCTCGGCAAAGCTTTATTGCATACCATTCAGTGTAATAATGAATAATCAGAATGCCTCCAAGGCCAAAGCAGAAGGGCAAGAGCTTTATCATACGCCTGTTGCCCACGTAAAATTATTTATGAGCCGCACGACGAATATCTTGGACAATTTCGATATGGTGGGACGAAATCGGCCAAAATGGTCGGCGCAAAACATTCATCCACTAATTTAGTGGGCTGTGGAGGGAGGAAAAGTGGGTGGAACACAATAAATGCTTGTCGTTCACTTCCCATTCGCTATGCAATTACACACATTCCGCCATTCGTTCATCAATCTACTCAGTGGACATGAAAGACACTCCGCATGGATGTTCCACAGGCCGTGGAATCTACGGAAATGTACACAGTGAAAATTCATTTACTACCCAGTTAGCTAAGCACTGAACTGTGAGCTCTACATCATCATTTGGGGAATGCTCTTTCGCAGTTGCTCATGCTGAGATATGCAAGGCTTAGGATATGTCTACAAATGTTCCCAATTCCTCAAACACACTCACACACACTTGCTGGCTTTTCCGCGCACAAGAACACATCGAAGCGGAAAAAAAAATTAAACAGCTTTAACCTATCAATGGTTGAAGCATTAGGTGATGACACGGCTCATAATTTGGCAACGTCAATCATAAGCTGTGAATTCACTGAAG